TCACATATATCCAAATTTTTTAGCAAAGCATGTGTCAAGGCTAAAAGGCTTTGGTACCCAAAGGACTAATTAATTAATGGATCAGCGGTAGGCTGGAAGAAGGCTTTTATGGTATGTCACTGGATTCAGTATCCCACTCTATCCTGCTAACATTTTATTAACCAAAAATAAGTTCTGGAAAAAATGTTTGTCCCATCTGCCCACAACAGCAAAGCTGGGAGGAATGATTATCACACTGGAAGACAAATGCAGCATTTGCAAAGCTTTCAACAGGTAGCAACAAGGAGCCTAAATTGGCTGGTGTTTCCCAAAATGTGTTCTCTGGAACACTAGTCATAAAAGAAGTTTCTTGGGGGAAAAGGTTCCAGTTGCGCAAATGGGAAATGCTACCCTCCGCAGCTAGTCACCACTTGAGGAGTTAGATTGCACACAAGCATATTCAGGGCTCTGAAAAATCCCACAGTAAAGGTAAGTGGAGCCTCCTTTTACTGATTGAAATGTTACAGAGGCAGCCGCATTGGTGGGATGCATAAATGAGGGAGGTGGCAGCGTATAGGACAACAAAGGGTCAGGGGTCAGGACTGGGAGATCTAGGCGGGCTTGATGGCTAACGGCATTCAAAACATGTTTTGAAACTGACAGTTGGCCAGGCACAGTGGCCAAGATGAGCGGATTATTTGAGCTCAAGAGTTCGAGACCAGCCTGGGCAACAATGGTGAAATCCCATCTCTACTAAAAATACAAAAAAATTAGCCAGGCATGGTGGCACATGCCTGCAGTCCTAGCTATTCAGGAGGCTGACATGGGAGAATCACCTAAGCATGGAAAGTCAAGGCTGCAGTGAGCCATGATCTAGCCACTGCATTCCAGCCTGGGCAACAGGAATGAGACCTGTCTTTAAAATAAAAGAAACTGCCAGTCAAGTGAAACCCATCTATTGACTGAGGCCCTTGGGGTGCTTGCTTAAGGTCTTTCCTAGCCATTTGAATTTAAAAGTATTTTATGAGGCCAGGCACAGTGGCTTATGCTTGTAATCCCAGCACTTTGGGAGGCTGAGGCAGGTGGATTGCTTGAGCCCAAGAGTTCAAGACCAGCCTGGTCAGCATAGTGAAACCAAATCTCTACCAAAAAAAATACAAAAATTAGCCAGGTGTGGTGGCGCATGCCTGTAGTCCTAGCTACTCAAGAGGGTGAGGTGGGAGCATCATTTGAGCCTGGGAGGTCAAGGTTACATTGAGCTGTGATCACACCACTGCATTCTAGCCTGGGCAATGGAGTGAGAGGAAGAGAAAGGGAAAGGGAAAGGGAAAGGAAAGAAAGGAAAAAGGAAAGGAAAGGAAAAAGGAAAGGAAAGGACATCATGAAACACCTATTAACATCTAGCTGAATTTGAGAAACACAGTTTAGGGAATGCTGACCTACACTGACAAGATATGATGCAGCAATAAATATATTTATATTTTTCCTACATTAACATTGAAAAGTACTAGCAATATAAATGGTAACAGCCTGAATACTAACAATGTAAGTATTAGATAAATGTCAGTTATAGCAAGAAAGATCTAGGGGTCTTAAGGTGACCATAACTTTTATTTATTTTATTCTATTTTATTTTATTGAGACAGGGTCTCACTCTGTCACCCAGGCTTGAGTGCAGTGGCACAATCACAGCTCACTACAGCCTCAACCTCCCAGGCTCAAGCAACCCTCTCGCCTCAGCCTCTCAAGTAGCTAGGGAGTAGCTAGCAGTTAGTGTGTGCCCAGCTAATTTTTGTATTTTTTGTAGAGACAGAGTTTCACCATGTTGCCCAGGCTCGTCTCGAACTCCTGAACTCAAGGCATCCTCCCACCTTGGGCTCTGAAAACAGCTGGGATTACAGGCATGAGCCACTGCACCCGACCTGACTGTAAATTTTTAAATGGCATGTGCCATTTGAGGCTGTGTTAACAGCCTAATAGGTCATACTATTGTAACCTGGGTGGATTTAAGCACATCTAAAGGCAGTCATTGAATCAAATCATGAAGGATCAGGGCAACACATATGTGAGGAATTCTGGAGGGAAATGTTAATATTTAACTGAAAAAGCGTAAGGCTTAAGAGGGAAAAGGTTGGGTAGAACATTTCCTCCCCAACCCTCATGCTTCCATGTGGAGAGACCTCTATGTTAGAAAGTTGAGATGAATGGGACATGTATGATTGAAGAATAAAGCTGCTATTTTTATCTCCACCTGCCTGAATGGCGCAGAGTCTTTCACTGGGTTCTGAACTTAAAAGGGAGTGTCTTTACGATCTCCTAATGTTCCAGCAGGAAGTGATAGCTGTCATTAACTACTTGAAGGCCCAGCCTGTGAAAAGTGGTTGGATTGACTCTATTTAGGTAGAAAAAGGAAAACCACGAGAAAAGTTTATCATTTAAAAGGAAGGGTACATTTTGAGTCACTAGAAAGAAGAACTTTCCCATGAATTGGAGCTGAGACAGCTGGCACCTCATCAATGGAAGTGTTCAAGGCCAGGGGAGGTGACTGTCAAAGCTGAGATGGGAGTTCCTGCTCTGGGTGTATTAGAGGACCTGTAAAGTATTTCCTATTGCTAAGAATCAACAGTTCTGCAATATAAAGACATGGATGGGGGTTTAAGGAGTGAGGGTTGTTCACTAATTGCAAATCTGCCTACTAACTTCCTCCCTATCAATTAAGAGCACTTAAATGATACTGAACTCTAATCAGAGAGCATCAGATAATAGTTCTTTATATGAAATCAACACCTTTGGCTCCTGGACAGAGTGACCTTTGACTACTAATTTTCAGAAGCATTTCCCCCAAATAACAAAATATTAGGGTAAGAAACTATATTAGAATAAAAGAATAAATTGGTTTATTCATTCAATGGGATATGAATCAGCAGTTCAAATGTATTAACAGATCTCAAAAACATAATGTTGAGTGATTTTAAAATGTGTAAAAAGATTACAGCACATCCCCATTTATGTATATTAAAACAACTAGATGCCGAGTGCAGTGCTCACACCTATAATCCCAGCACTTTGGGAGGCCAAGGTGAGAGGATCGCTTGAGCCCAGGATTTTGAGGCTGGAGTACAGGGCTGCAGTTAGCCACAATCACACTACTGTACTCCAGTCTGGACAACAGAGCGAGACCTCATCTCAAAAAGAAAAGAAAAGAACAACTACAGAACAATATTATATATTATTTGTGGATCTACTGACATAGGTAGTAAAAGTATAAAACATACATGGGAATGATATATCCTACTCCAGGACTGTGATTACTTCTGGGGAGCAGGAGAGAGGAGGAAAGGGATGATGAGTTGGAGTCTAAATTATATCAGTAATGCTTTATTATTTAAAAAAAAAAAAAAACCTGGAGCACAAAACAGGAAATGTCTATTATCAGTGATGGGGGTAGATAGGCATTATATTATTTTCCATACATTTCTGTATGTTTGAACTCATTTTGAATGAAGCAATACTTTTACAGAAGCCATATGAGGGGTCATAAGCCCAGTCCTCCCATGCATACAGGTCTCTCCTCTCATATCTTGTCACCTAGCCTTTGCTCTGACTCTTCCTCCGCCAAGTTAATTTTATCTTTATATTAAAGCAAAATAGACTTTCTTGTCAGCTTCTACTCTTTGGGGCTGGCTCTGCCCCTTGGGACAACAATGACTCTACTGTCTTCACTCTGCTGAAATAACTCAAGTGACTGCCCTTCTACAAACCAACAGAACTTTGAGTCTTGGGAGAAATTTGTTAAAATCTTCCCTATGTGGATAATATGTCAAACTCATGCTGAATATTTGTTTACTGCAAAAGGCATCTTCCAGATTTTAACATCATTCAGTGAGAGATAAAATGATAAAAGACTTAGGAAAATATTTTTCATCAACTTTTAAAGAAGTGACCTTTTCCAGATATTAAAGAACTATAAAAGTCATCTATTTTCCCCCACATTAGAAAAATATAATTAGAAAGACACTATTTCTTCTATAAACACATTCATTTCGGAATTGCCTATAAACCTTTTTTTTACCATAAGATAAGGGAAAATGAGTTTAGTTTTTTTGCCTAGTAGGTGAGCTCAGTGATGTTCAAATTGCATATTGTGACCAATTACTAAGTTGTGAAACCAGTGATAGCAGTACTTGAAAGAAATGTAATGGAAAAGAAAATATTGGAATGTAACACTCAGAGTAAGTACTGTTTATGAAACTTTTGCTTCAGTTTTTAAAAGTCACACTCACACAGATGCATGTACTATGTGACAATGTAAAATAGATTTCTTATTATGGGTTGCAGTAAAAAAAAAAAAAAAGATTTCAAAACAACTGGGTTAGATGATAACAAATGCTTATAAAAGCCATTAGCTGAAAACCAGGTTTCTTTAGTCTGAAACACCAGTGCTGTTCAAATTTGCTGGCTATGAAAATGTGTGATATGAAGGTAGGAACCACCTGAGATCAGCGCCACATCTTTGCTGGATACCAGTGACACAAGTAAGAAATATTTTGCTTCCTGCTTTGTCCAAATTTAAGATTCCACAGGAAGTTTATTCCACAGGAAGTTTTTAGAAGCTTTATTACTTCATTTGCATATGTCACAGAGACTATACTAAGCTAATGTGCATAGGAAAAACTTAGCAAATTAACCTTCTGTGCTATTGTTGACACTTCTGCAAATGGATGAAGCCCTTTAGCTTCGACCTCGCTCCTTAGTCAATGAAGGTGTTTTGAATTTCCATACCCCTGGCAGTCCATAGCAGGGAGCCACAGTCAATAACCCCTTTCCTGTTCTAGTAAAGCCATTCAAGACAGAGCAATTAGCCCTAAGAGCCAATGCAGCGAGAAATACAATTCATGATCTTGCTCCTTGCTATACTCTAATGAGGGACTCAGTAAAAGTTCCAGTCTCCTCAGAACAAACACAACCTGAATGGATTCTTCTTTCTGCCCTTTTCTTAAACACAATTGGCTTTCATTTATTCAGACATACTCTACATGTACAAACCTCGGAGAGCATTAATCTTATTGGGATCAAGGGGATACAGGCCACGCCCCCGACTGCCATAGACATTACTTTGGATCAGGACATCTTCTGTGAAGAGTTTGTGAATAAGGTATCTAGCCGACAAGTTTGCGCGAGGCCTAGCTTTTGCCAAAGTCATTACTGAACGTGGCATCAGTATATTTCTGCATGAATTTCCAAAATAGCCTAGAAGCAAAAGAGAAAGATGTCAGTTTTCATAGTAGATATTAGGTTACATTATTTTTTAAAGTCTGAAACAGAAAGTTGGTTTTTCTGAATCATTAGGCTCAAGAATTTGAGAGGTTAAAAGATTTAAGACCTTACATTTTTATTTATTTTAAAGACAGAGTCTTGCTCTGTTGCCCAGGCTGGAATGCAGTAGCACAATCATGGCTCACTGTAGCCCCAACCTCCCAGGACTCAAGTAACCCTACTAGCTCAGCCACTCAAGTAGCTGGGACTACAGGCCCACTCTAATTTTTTTATCTTTTATAGAGACAGGGTCTCACTTTGTTGCCTAGGCTGGTCTCGAACTTCCACGCTCGAACGATCCTCCTGCCTTGGCCTCCCAACGTGCTAGGATTACAGGTGTAAGCCATCGTGCCCAGCCTAAAGCTTTACGTTTTTAGTGGATTATGAGACAGCATGAGAAATGAGATAGAAAGCACTGTGATTACACATGCTACCACGGTTCAACAGGAAAATTTAATATGCTGTTATCTTTTAGGATACAGTAAGTTTTAAAATTACATTTAGTAACAAATTCTAAGTAATTTAATATATTGTTTCCCTACTTACAAGAAATACTTTTTCAAAAATAAGCTCTATGATTCTTCCTGAAATAGTTATAATTTTTAAAATGTAGGTTTTCTATTTAGTATTAAATACATTTTAAAATCAACAAACTGCTGGTTCACTTTACATATTGTATCTTAGATACCTTATTTGAAGTGAAAAATAAGTTTTAAGACTTCATTTCTCAATTCTATAGATTAATCATCTCTCCAGTCCACAGTAATTCAAATAAACTGTATTTGAAAAATATATTTTACATGTAATAAAGAATTATTTGTTAAAGAAAATATATTAGAAAAATATAATTCTTGTAAATCTATAAGTACATTCTTCATCTTAGAACATCCATCATTTAATGGGTGGCAATAAAAATTGTTGAATCATCCAGATTCAACATTTAGCAGGAGAGATTATTTAGAAACACATTTAATGGGCCAAAGACTTAACTCTGGGAGATTTATCTAGTAATATTTATCAAGGGTCAGGAAAAAAGGTTAATACTCTTTAACCTGGTAATTCAATTTCTAAGAACCCAACCTAAGATAATAATCCAAAGTATGGGAAAATCTCTCTGAATGTGCCAAGTGTGGTGGCTCACATCTGTAATCCAGTACTTTTGGAGGCCGAGGCAGGTGGATCAGAAGTTTGAGATCAGCCTGACCAACATGGTGAACCCTGTGTCTACTAAAAATACAAAAACAATTAGCCGGTTGTGGTGGTGCACATCTATAGTCCCAGCTACTCAGGAGGCTGAGGCAGAAGGATCATTTGAACCGGGAGGTGGAGGTTGCAGTGAGCCAAGGTCATGTCACTGCACTCCACCCTGGGTGATAGAGCAAGACCCCATCTCAAAAAAAAAAATCTATCTGAATGAAGATTGTTTTTATGCAGACTGATTTATAATCCCCTTCCAAAAAAAAAACCCTCAAACGAAAACAACAACAACAACAAACAGAAACAAAGAAGGAGACAATTAAATAAATTGGGGTATACTTAATTAATGGAATGCTATAATCTTATTAAGAGCAATGATTATGAAGACTGCAGATTCTTGAGGAAAAACAGATATATATTACAACGTTAGAGAGGGAGAATAATCTATATGGGAATCATAATGCTTCAAAATGTTCATAGGAAAAAAAAAAAAAAACTGAAGGGAAATGAAAATGCCCACAATGGTTTTTTAAGGTATTTTGATTGTGGGAGTTTTTTCCCCCCTCTTAAAAATATTTTCCAATTTTTAAATAAAATGGCATAACAGACTCCACACACTGCAGTGACTGCTTGGCTCACAGCAGGCTTAGTCGTCCTGTCCCCTCATTATAGCTGAATCAGGGTTAGAGACATGTGGCCCAAGTTCCCACAGTCTTGGGGCTGCTCTAGATCCTGCCTGCCTGCCTGAGGCTCACTCAGTTCTTTGCTTCTTTGAATACAGGAGCTATTTAACCAGTGACTTGTGTTATTGTTTAATTTATCCAGTCTGTGTCTCTAGTGTACAATCTTAACAAATACAGTAGATTACTTTTATAATGGAAAAAATAAAGATATAACATGTCAATAATTTCATTTGAACAGGATCCCAGGTAGTATTCTGCTTAGGGTTAACATGGGGGCAGGGTACAGACAGAATAAAGTTTTGCTACTTCAGATGTCGCTCATCGGTATGGGTGATGCTAAAGCCCAGCACCCTGGGAAGATGCATTGGGAAGCACAAGTGGCAGGTGGCACAGTCACTACTGAACCACTGCCACTTGACACCCATCAAAGCAGGAGGTGCCATTAGCAGACAGTTTAGCGGTGGGAGCACAATGTTCTGAGAGATGAGATTCACAAATTCATGCAAAAATCCTACTGCACACCTGTAATGTGCCAGGCATGCAGAGAACAAGGAGTGCATCTCAGCTGCAGCCCCTCCCCTTCACCATGGAGGACAGTGCCTTATCAGAGCTCACATGGTCCAGTGAGTCGGCAAAGAGCCGCTTTCCATAGGAAAAATAACAATCAGTCTCAGAACCATGTGTCTATATATTTCATTAACTCATTAATAAAAGACATTAAATTGTTTCACTTTCTGATGAAATTTTTCAAACACACATAAAAGTAGAGAGAATAGTACAATGAGCCCCATAAACACATCACTCTGATACAACATTTATCAGCAAGAGAACTTATTTAAAAATACGTTTTTAAAAAACTCACCCAATGCTTCACTAGATTCCTCTGGGTTATCAGTGGAAGGTTCTTGCATTTCTTCAGGGACAGCATTACTATTTGGTTGCAAGTTCTCATTTTCTCTCATTTCAGAATCATTCATTGGTGGAAACATCCAAGAACTGCCTTCACCACCATCTCTGTCCCTTTGGTCATTTCTACTGGCAGATGCCAGTGCAACAGGGTTGGTAGGGTTTTTATTTTTGCCAACAGTTTTCTGTTGAAACACAAAACTATATCTGTAAACAAAGTCCCACACCAAGAAAATATGTCTGTTCTACCACCTACCAGGCCCCTCAGGTTGCTAGGGAGGCAACTGCCTCTTAAAAAGGTAGGCTGAAGCCATAGGAATGCTGTGTGTCACAATACTATCTGGAAAGAAAGAAATGGGTGGCTTCTTCCTCAAGCTGTCATGACCTCCGTTCCTTGGAGAACTTAGTAGCTCTGTCTACGGAACTGAATGAGAACTGCCAGTACAAATTAAGTGCATAATAAACATTTCTCGAATAAGCAAAGCAGTGAGTTTCTTGGGGATGACCACTTTTTGTTTCTCATGTTTTGTTTTCTTTTTCCCTAGTGACCCTCAAGTCTGGCTGCACATTTGAATGATCTTCGGGATCTGTAAAAACAAATGGCTGTGCTGGGCCCCACCCTAGGCAAAGTCAGCCAGAATCTCTGGCGGTGGGAGCGAGGAGCTCAGGCAGTAGTAACTTTTTTTAAAAGTGTCTCATTTGACTCTAATATGCATCCAGGGTTGACAACCACTGCTCTGGATTAGGCCTTCTTGAACTTTAGTGTGCACACAGTGCCCTGGGAGAATGCTGGAGGGCGGGGGGCAGGGGACGGAGGTTGAGGAGGGTCTTGCTAAAATGCAAATTTTGCCTCTGAATCAGGACCCTGCATTTTTCACAAGCTTGCCAGGGGTCCGCTGCTGCTGGGCTGCAGATCCACTCTGAGTGGCAAGGACCTGTTCAGTTTCTAGTCAAGCACACAGCAGGCCCTTGGCAGACACTGCTTCTCTTCTCTTCTGACACCTAAGCAAATATGCAAATTACCATTTTCCAGGCAGTGTCTTAATTTTACATTCAAATTGTTTAGGGTGCAATTTTTGAAGGCTATAAAACGGAATGTTAAAAATAAGCAGATTTGGTTTCAGGCAGATGGTGCTTGAGCTATCACTGAAATCAACCCGTTCACCAGGAAAACATACGCTCAGCTACAAATATTCTTGGCAAATTGTTTCCATAAACTTACTCTAGAGACACAGGAGTGACTAGACATGGCAAGAAGAAAAAGGGGTTGGTGGAAATCAGGAATTGTCATTAAGATACATGTTTCATCAGAAGACAACAGATATGACACTCTTCCCTAATAGCCCAGTTGTGGTAAAACAACAAAAATCTCTAAAGTACTTTGAAGATAGACTAGAGGAGAGAGAAACTAGATTTCTGTTACCACGTAACTATACAGAGTGTACAATCTCTGTAATCGTTTAACTCATGACATGCATTGTTTTCACCAAGTTCCATCATCACTGAAAGTGAACAAGTAATGAAGTGCCTGCATTTTCCCCTGCATCTACTCAGCTACCATTGAAACAGCCAAGAAGCACACACCTAGCTCCTTTTTGTGTTTCTCAGTGAGATACTGAAAAAGATTTGCTGAATATCTTTTTTCCAGTATTATCCTTGGCTTCAAATATACTAATTATAGCACTTTATTTATCTTTAGGATATTTTTATAGAGCATAAATATCAAAAAAGTAAAATAAACATGAAGTATACTTTTGAAAGAACATCCCATTCCCCCTAAATTAAATTAATGAGATTTTTAGCACATGGCCTGAAGAGCCTGTACATCACGCTATTAGTTCTGGAGCTGTACAGAGTACAAACTTAGGCAACGGTTACCATATTTAGATGAAAAATAACTTACTGGAGTCATCTTGGCTTCAGAACATAAACAGTAGATCACAGAATTGATACCAGAAATACAGTCTTGCCAGTCTTTTCCATGTTCACACAAATCACAGGTAGGAAAAATTGTTGCCAGATATTCTGCAAACAGCAGAAAGTATTCAAGAAAATTAGAAAAAAATTAACAAACTAACGAAAAAATGTTTTATTTAAATACTGACTTTTAGATGGTTCCATTGTGTAATGGTGAGCACTCTGGACTCTTAAATACTGACTTTTTCTACTTCTCATCTTTTTCTCTTATTCTTTCTGAGAGTTTAGAAATTCAACCCAATGAAGATGCTTTGCTGAATTATTTCCCCTACCATGAGATCCCCTAAAATACTGACATAGGGAGCTAATATTGAGCTCTTGGTGCTCTAAAAAAAAAAAAAAGTGTGCAGGTCAGGCACAGTGGCTCATGTCTGTAACCCTAGTGTTTTGGGAGGTCAAAGCAAAAGGATCACTTGAGACCAGGAGCTTGAGAACCGTTTAGGCAGCAAAGTGAGAGCCCATCTCTAGAAAAAAAATACAAAACTTAGCTGGGTATGGTGGCATGCACCTGTGGGCCTAGCTACTCAGGAGGCTGGTGAGGAAAGACTGCTTGAGCCCAGGAGTTCGAGGCTTCACCAAGCTATGGTCACACCACTGCACTCCAGCCTGGGCAACAGAGTCAGACCCTGTATCTAAAAACAAATTATAAGTGTGTAACCAAATGTTGACTCTTTCAGGATGCTCCAACCATTTAATAACTCAGTGGATAAATCAGAGCTAAAAGGAAACATATCAAGAGAAAATAGTGTCACTGCAAACATGATTACACCAGGGGCTCACTCATCGTGTCTATCTTCCCCAGCTCTTCCCTCTGTCTAGAACATCCTCCTGTTCCCTCTACCTAGTGAAGGAGTCCAGAATCCAGCTTAAACGTCCTGTCCTTAGCTAAGCCTCCCCCAACTTCCTCAAAGCAGCTGCTCTGAGCTTCCCCAACACTACCACACTGGACTGGGATGCATCTGTTTCTATCAACATGTCCCTTTCTAGACTATAAGCTCCTTGTAGGCAGAAACACTTATTCATTGTAGTATCCTTAGTACCCATGAGTTCTAGGATCTCAATACACAAGTCTGGAAGGCAGGAGGCTAAAAAGGACTAATCATAAAATTCTATTTCTGTGTTGCTAGTCACTAGCACTGACAAGTCTTTTATTCCCCCACCTTTTGGCAGGGGGAACTTTTTCTTTTTTCTTTTTTTTTTTTTTCAGGACTAAAGAACTGACTTAGTACTAACCATAAATAACTATAATAGATGAGGCTTGTCTTATTCAACTATTCAAGTCAATGGACAAGTTTTATTCTTTGGAAATTGTTACCAGTTACTTTATTATTATTATTATTATTATTACCATTATCATTATTATTATTGAGACAGAGTCTCCTTCTATTGCCCAGGCTGGAGTGCAGTGGTGCAATCTCGGCTCACTGCAACCTCTGCCTCCTGGGTTCAAGCAATTCTCCTGCCGAGTAGCTGGGACTACAGGCGCGTGCCACCAAGCCCAGCTAGTTTTTTCGCATTTTTTTTTTTTTTAGTAGATACAGAGGTTCACCATATTGGCTAGGCTGGTCTTGAACTCATGACCTCATGATCTGTCCACCTTGGCCTACCAAAGTGCTGATATTACAGGCCTGAGTCACCACGCCCGGCCCCAGTTACATACTATTAAGTTGTAAAATCAGGATCAGACAGGTGAAAAAAAATGAATAGTTTTAAGATTTACACAGACTTCATTTTAACATTCATTATATGACCAATAACATTCATTATATGACCAAATGATGATTAAAAATAGGATTCCATCATCACTTTATGTACACATACCTCTAATTGCAGCCATTTTGTTTGGGTTGAGGGATTGGTAGTCTTTCAAATGGATATCCTCTGAGCTGCTAATCAGGATTTTCTTGGAGAACAAAACATGAACCAAGTAGCAGGCTGCGTGCTTAGGTTTGGCCATATTTCGTGTGGCCAGCAAATGAATGTTAAGTACCTTGACATCTCTTTTTGGATCACCAAGATAGCCTTTAACAATATAGAGAAAAAGGAACATCCTTAGTTTTGTCATGCAAGGGTACCCTGAAAGTACCCAAGAGAATTAAACTGATTTCTTTCTTCTTTTCCTTCAAATAAGGCAAGTGCCAATAAACTGATTTCTAATTCATGAATTTCTACTTGGATGAATTTTTTTCTACGCTTATCTATTCCTTTTCCTTAAATGGCTCTCTTTGACACCATCTGACAAACTGTCAACATTCTTCACTTCTGCTGGTCTTGAGCTTGCTGTTCGTTAGCTTGAACACATGTCATTGTTAGGCTGCAGGTACATATGTAAACATGTTGCCCTGAGTTGCCACTGCTCCGTTTCACACTCTAAAAGTACACTCTAGAGCCATTCTACTGGGTGAGTGGATGTTCCCTGAAGACAATGTTGAAAGCATGGGTGGGAATCATTAAGAAATTTTTCAAAAAGCTAGCATTTATAAGTACCTCCTGTATATCAGGCATGTGCTAAGCATTTTACATCTATACACTAGCTAAGTTTCATCATTCTAACAACTCTATCATTATTCCCATCCCATTATTTCCAAATGAAGAGACTGAGGCCCAGAAAAGATAAGTTGTTTGAAAAGGTCACACTAATAGTTACAGAACCAGTTTTAAAATCTGTTTATGAGTCAGCTGCTCTAAACTATGAATCTTCTACTAACATCTTCCATTCTTTATTCTATTTTTTTAAAGACAAATTGAAGTCATACATTAGGTATAGTTTAAGTCCTGCTTTTTCGGTTAATACTGTATTTTGAGCATTTCTCTGTTTTAATCTTTTTTTTTAAGTCTGCATTCCTGTCATCATGATTTTCCTCACAAGTGACGTTTATGTTGTACTTACATCCCAAGCATTAAGAGCTTTAAATGCATTGTCCCACTTGGTCCTTATAATTCTATGAAGTAGAAACTATTATTTTTGCCACTTCACAGCTGAAGAAACTAATATTTAGGTTAGGAAAGTGGCTGAGGGTCATAAGGTTAGTAAGACACAGAGCTGGGATTTGAAGTCAAGCAGGCAGACGTGAGAGCTCATGCCCTCAACCATTAGGCTTTACTGTCTCACATGCTGTGGATATATCAGAAGTCAAGTGATTAATTCTCTATCATCATTTATTTTTTTTGTTTCCAATTTTTCCCAATGATTCTGTGAAGGACATTCTTGTAACAAAATTTTCATGTAATTTTTTAATTGCACTTTCAGATAGAAGTGAGATTACAGAGTCAACTCGCATAAATGTTTTTATGCATTTTTCTAAAAACTATCTTTCAGAAAGTTTGAACCAATGTATACTTCTAACAATGTATCAGAGTGACCATTTTAATACAGAGATGCAACTTTTTATTTCTGGTTTTGTTTTTTTAGCTGGAGTACAGTGGCATGATCATAGCTCACTATAGCCTCAGCCTTCTGGGCTCAAATGATCCTCCCACCTCAGCCTCCCAAGTAGCTGGGATTAAAGGCACATGCCACCATGCTTGGCTAATTTTTTGTATTTGTTGTAGAGATGGGGTTTTGCTATGTTGCCCAGGCTGGTCTCAAACTCCTGTGATTTGCACACCTCAGCCTCCCAGATTGCTGGGATTAACAAGCCTGAGCCACCATGCCTGGCTGAGACCACAATTTTTTGAAATGTCTTCTAGTTTGAGTAAGAAAATAATTTAAAGGAATAAGCTCTCCTCTAGGAAGGGAGTCAACAAACTACAGTCCACTGGCCCATCCCCTCATCGATCTATGTGAAAGATATGCTGGCCCATGGCCACTCCTATTCATTTGCCTATGGGCTGAGGCTGCTTTTATGTTACAACAGCAGAGGTGGGTATTTGTGACAGACAATACTATCTAGCCCTTCACAGAAAAGGTCTCCTGACCCCTGTTCTAGGACATTAACAAGAAATACGCTGCTTAGAAGTTGAAACAAAAATGAACTAACTATAAAATATTTGGAACGGTTACCCTTAGAAGCCACAGAGCTTGGGGGCCCCTCATCTCTGCCACTGTGGCTTGGCAGGCAGTACAGTGGACTGGTAAGAAACATGAGCTTTAGGCCAGGCACGGTGGCTCATGCTTGTAATCCTAGCACCTTGGAAGGCTGAGGCAGCAGATCACTTGAGGCCAGGCATTCCAGGCCAGCCTGGCCAAAATGGCAAAACCCCATCTCTACTGAAAATCCAAAAATTAGCTGGGCATGGTGGTGCATGCTTGTAATTCCAGCTACTTGGGAGGCTAAGGCAGGAGAATCACTTGAACCTGGGAGGCAGAGGTTGCAGTGAGCCAAGATCATGCCACTGCACTCCAGGCTAGGCA